GCTGGAAGAAATATCAACAACCTCAGATATGCAGATGATACCACTCTTATGGCAGAAAGTGAGAAGGAATTAAGGAACCTCGTAATGAGGGTGAAAGAGGAACCCAAAAAAATGATCTGAAGCTCAACATCAAAGAAGCTAAGATCATGGCCACTGGTCCCATCACCTCCTGGCAAATAAATGTATGGAAGTGAGAGCTGGACCATAAAGAAGGCCGACCGCCAAAGAATTGATGCTTTTGAATTGTGGTGCTGGAGGAGACTGTTGGGAGTCCCCTGGACTGCAAGGAGAACAAACCTATCCATTCTGAAGGAAATCAATCCTGAGTGCTCTCTGGAAGGACAGATCCTGAAGCTGAGGCTTCAGTACTTTGGCCATCTCATGAGAAGAGAAGACTCCCTGGAAAAGACCATGATGCTGGGAAGGTGTGAAGGCAAGAGGAGAAGGGGACAGGAGAGGCTGAGATGGATGGATAGTGTCATCAAAGCTACCAACATGAATTTAACCAAACTCCGGGAGGCAGTGGAAGACAGGAGGGCCTGCCGTGCTCTGGTCCATGGGGTCACGAAGAGTCAGACACAACTTAATGACTAAACAACAACAAATTCTACACAATGTGAGGAAATATGATGCAGCTGTCTTCCTCTCCTGCTGAAAATGAGAACTGCTTATAGGGGATGGAGGTCCACTGGCAGCAGATTATCTAACTGTGTCAAGAAGGTCTGTAACACATCAGTATGTGCTCTCTGGTGCTTCTGAACCTTAACGTTGAAGCACAAGCAAACAGATTTCTGCTGATTCCTTAGGCAACTAACAAATCTTGGGAGGTCCTGGCTGTGCTTCAACTAGATGTGCACAAGAAGGCAGTTCAGCAGCTGTTTTCCAGCAATGCACAATAAACTAAAATTTACCTGTTATATGTGTATTAGGAAAAGGACAGTGACATTACCCTCCTTTGTAACTGACTGCTCTAAGGACCTCCCGATTTGTGCCCAGGCAGTCTTTATTTATTTATTCTATTTATATCCCACCCATCTGGTATAGTCTTGCATAGATTAGTCAGGGAAATGGAGACAATCATCCTGTCCCAATCCCAAACATTTTTGACAGTTTGATGTGATTCATTCTCCAGATACTGAAGGTTAAAAACATTTGAATCTCCAAAAATTGTGTCATATTACTTCCCTTGCAAATTCCTAAGGCATGCATGCATGCATGCATAAATAAATAAATCAATCAATCAATCATGCTTATTGTTATTTCAGAAGTGAAAGCTCTATTCCATATTATTTATATTGAAAAATGTCCCCCAAACAAGAACATGGATCTCCATAATTTACACAGCAACAGTTATAAGGTACTCATTTTTCTCCCTGCTTTGCTTTCTCATTTATAAATCTCTCCTAATTTTAGACAATCCGGTGAAGGAACGAGAAAGGACCATAAAGTATATGGATGTGTCAGTGGAGACCAAGACCCAAGATCATCCACACTCTTGTATTTCCGATCACCATGCACGGGGTTTGAAAGCTAAACAGTAAAAAAAAGCTTACAGGAAAAGAATTGATTTGTTTGAAATGTGATTCTGAAGGAAACCTTTGCGAATACCATGGGCTGTCAGGAAGACAAACAAGTGGGTTCTAGAGCAAATCAGTGTAAATACAAGCACAAACTGGTCCTCCTATTAAGGATACATTGCTCTACAGTCATGTTTAGATAACTAATCCAACTAATCCATTAGGGGCTGAAGCTACCTCTTCTGCTATGAAGTTATCAGTTTTGTATTTAATTGTTCTTATTCAATGCTGCTTGCCTAGTTAAGGATGCTCTACAGTGTGCATAACTTACAGATAAAACAAGATGAAGGGGGAAAGATGGATTATTGCACTCTAAGCCACATAAGTCAAAAGGTACAATTTTTTTTCTCCATTTTCCAAATAAAAATTATAATATTGGCTATGTTGTTTTCAAAGCACCCATGACTCTCCTGAAATCCAGGGCACCCTCTTCCAGAGAGCTATGCTCAACTAGTTGAGAAGCACCAATAATTCAACATTTACCTAGACCATTTTTTTTCCTAATCTGGTCACTACTTCCCCCATCAGCCTTTATTCAACATCATTGTGATTTGTAGCCTTTGCTATGCTTTGATCCTCCATGAACCTGCCTAAGCCCCTTTCAGAGCCATCAAAGCTAATGGACATCATCACAGTTTGTGGTAGTGAATTCTATAAGCAAATCATGTGCTATATGAAGAAATAATTTCTTTTGTCTGCCACAACTCTCCTGCCAGTCATCTTCATCGGGGATTACAGATTCTAGTATTATTAGAGAGAGATTTTTCCCCCTGTATCTTAAACAATTTCACAGACCTTAATCATGTGATGGGGAGATATAAGAATATTTCTAGTGAGGGCTTTGCCAGTGCTCTGTGTTCAGCCCTAGAAATCGAACATTTGAGGAGATGCTTACAAACATTAAACAGAGGAGAAGCAAAAATTGCTAGAAGTCTGGAGAATATCTAACCTTATGAATTAAAACCAAAGGAGTTGAGCTACTATAGAGAAGAAACCCACTAGGAGTTTATCATTTCCTTTACATTTATGAAGACTTTTTAAAATCTCTCTCTGACAGACAAGTCAGAAACCACACCTGTCCATCACAATGGAATACTGGTTCAGTAGCCAATGGTTGTGCAGGAGGGCAGAACCCGAAAATATAAGAAGAGAACGAAGGACAGTTACAGTTCAGTTAGAGTTAGGATTTCATTTAGCCAGGCGTTAGGGGTGTCAGTTAGTGATGTGATAGGACAGTCAGTCAGGAGTTAGGGAAAGAGTTAGGTAGTTTCTTGGAAAGAAACCCTTGGAAAGAAACGTATAAGAGAACTGAATGCAACTGTTATAAAGTGATTGAACCTAATTACAAAGTAACCAGCACATTTCTAAGTTAAATGGCGTTTAATGAATACTAAATACAATTCCAGCTATGATTTCCTTGATTCTTAAATATGTTAATCTATTAATAAACAATATTATATTTGACACGATTGATTCTGTGGTTCTAATTGGTAATTGAGGAAGGATTTCCTCCGGTGGCATCAGAAGTGGAGACGAGAAATTGTCATGCCCGAAGGCAGATCTGTTTGTTAGGGAGAACATACAGAGGAGTTGGGGGGGTGTGACACTCTCCTATTTTGCCTCTTAAGATAATGACATGTAAACAGAAATCACAGCAAAACAAACAAACAAACAAACAAGAGATTTATACTCAATTAAGAATTCACTGTTTCTAATGGTAAACCACTTCTGAATATTGTCTATCTAGAAAACCCTGAAAAGAGTTGCCATAAATCAGGGTTTCCATAAGTGATGTGACAGCACATGATTTTTATTACAGCATAAGTCAAACCCTAAATGGAAGATTTTTTAAAATCCCTTCCACTAAATGACATACATTTTACTTACTTTAAGAAGCATATTTGTTAGTCTTAATAGTGGAAGGAAAAAAAAATATTAAAGCTGGAGGCAAAAGAACCGAAGAGGAGGGTATGGAATGGATGCATAATTCCACAGAAACATGCAACAGGTGAAAAATACTGAGCTGATGAATCCCATGGGCTGCTAGACCTTTCTTTAGAAGGGCCTTGCCAGTTTGCTCTTGTGTTAATTGCTGCTTTAATAGATGCCCGCCTCTCTACCACTGGCCTAGTTCACACAAACCAAACTCATTACTTCTATGACTCCTCCATTTTACAAAAGCCCAATTAATTATTTAGAGACTTGAGATCCATTTCTAAGGACTTACCTGCTCCGTCTCGACAAAGTTAGAAACGTGTCCATCATCATTGACTCCTCGTACGTGAAACCGGGCACCAGCTCGTTCACAGCTGATCCGGGAGATAAGACAGGCTTTTGCCTTCTTGTGCGAGGCGTAAAGAGTGCGAATGTCCACCACGCCACAGATAATTTTTAACAACCAGTCAGAGCAATTCACCTGATAATGTCTAAAAGGGACATGCAGCAGCTGGTTCCTGCAAGATTCAAGAGTCCAGACTCACCTTATGTATTACATATTGATCTCCAAAGAAAACTAGGTTTAATATGATTTAACCAGAACACTCCCCTGCCCCTGCCCATTAGTTCTTAGGGTACCACAAACAGTCAGAAAGCCGTTAACAAACAGAAGACAAACTTTGATGGCGAGTCTTTTTAAATACAAAAAAAAAAAAAAAATTACAGCATGACTGCATGGCACGGTCTATGGTCTGAACATTTACAATAAAGGTCCTTTAATTTTAAGAATTCTCTTTTGCAATAAAATCTGGGAATTAAACATACTATTGCTCCATTGTGGCTGCTACCACAAAAGGATTGTCTTCTGTACTGTGTGACTCACCAAGCCAAATCCAGCCCATCACAAATTTTGGGCTCTCATATGATTGACAGCTCCTCCCCCTTTGCAATAATGAGGAGACCAAAACTAACCAACAAAGAAGTTTCTTAAGCCACTACATCAGCTGGTAGGCTGTATTTAATTCCACAATTTAGAATAATCACACAAATAAATTTGCTGTTCACAGTGGGGACATCATGAAGACATGGTGAGAGTGCTGTTTATGTCACTGTAGGGACACAGACATAACAGTAAAGCATTTAGAAATAAAATCTACCACCCTTCTTGACTGCCCATTGCTACTGAAAGAAAATTTTAAGCAATACGATAAAGTATAGGTTTTAAATATGATAGTGTTTGATATTATATAGTCTTTTTTGTGTCAATACTAATCTATGTGTTTAGGTTAAAAACCAACTGCAATTATAAGCAGTTTTGGATAAGAATAAGAACAGCTTTATGTTAAAGTATGCTGAGCTAAATCCAACCTTAGTGCTACCTAAAATTGACCCTAAAAAATTAACGGGACATGCCAACCACAACTAACATAACTCTCAGTGGATTTAATACATCTACTCTAGTTAACACTAACATTGGACTTAAGATATCCTTTGATAATGCTACTCTTGCAAGCAGAGTATGTCCCTGTATGTCTTTTCTTTACACCTACCTATAGAGGACACAATCCAGCCAACACTAAGTGCTTTTCAAAGCCCCTTTAATTTCAGCAGAGGAACTGTCCATGTTCTCTCCTTTTAAAATCACTGAGACTGAATTTGGCTGTATTGTGCCACACATGCTTTAAGAAAATCATGTCACTACCTTCACGAATCAGAACTAATCTTGCATAATGTTAGATCGATTAACTAATTTTATAAGAACATGGATAGAACACACCAGCCTTCCAAATGGATGCCCCCCAAATGTGTTTAGTGATAGCTTCCATCATGGGAGTCATGGCGCTGTAGTCCAACACACATGAAGAGCATGAAGATGGGGGAAGGCTGGATCAGATGTCCAATGGAGTCTGTTATGTTCTAAGAAAGATGATTTTAAAGACTTGGGAATGTGTATAGGCCGTGAGACTGTTTTTTCTCCAAGGGCCATTCGGCAGGGAGATCCAGATAAAGTCAAGGCCAGATCAAGAGGCCTCAAGCTGTTGAAAGCAACATTCCAAAGCTAATGAAGAAGTTGGGATTCATCATGAAAAATCTGGGAGGAGAATGGTGCTATGTTTCTTTGAAGTTAATTGGCGTAATGCTGAGAGGAAGAGGAGAAGGGATGGGGGATAGAGGGAGAGAGGAGCCTGTCTTTTTGGAAGGTTTTGGGAGAGGAAAATTACTCTGTTACAGAATGTAGCTGGAGTGGAAAAGAAGGAGGGGGAAAGCCCCCTTTGCAATATTTAGATTTAGCTATTTCTTATGTTAATTAGGATTAGTAGTTCTATGTATCCACAAAGCCTTGGGCTATGTTTTACTGCTGCTTTATTGCAATCTAAAAACTGTTTTCTAAGAACCTTTATTTTCTTAATAAAAATACTTTTAAAGACAATTGGAAGATTTGATCTCTTGGAACAGCAAGGCTATACTAAATCCAGAAGGGAAAAACAGTCACTGGCTTGCTACCATTGAGGAGTCATATCTAGTCCTACCTGGCAAGGTTGTTGTGAGGTTTTAGGAATCACAAAACCTATGCTTAAGTACTTTGAAAGTAAAGTAAACTTGTTCTTTGTTGGTCAGGCTTGCCCATGGTACAGATTTGTGATCACAGTGGCTCCCTGCCTACAGAAATCTATTGCAACATTGTGTAGACAAGAAATTGATTCAGAACTGTAAAGCCATCATAACCCACAGTCACTGTTTTGGAGCAGATATACCGCCACCTTTACTTTGGGGCTGTATTTTAGCAAAAAGTGGGCAAACACTAGTATAAAGAACTGCAAGTTTTAGGAAGCTGAGAATACTTTCATATACAAACCACAGGGCACATAAAGAGGGGGAAATTGTTATGAAAATAGCTTGGCAGCAGGACACTGAAACATTGTTTGAATAAATTATTCATATAGGTTTACATTAGCACAAGTCTGCACCATTTTCCAAATTCAATTATTTTTCACTTGACTATACTATTCACAACTGCCGCCAGCCAGCCACAAGGAGTCTCATACACAAAATCAGCTGCACTGACTATATCTCTGCTAAGCAGTATTGTTGCTTATACATTATGTATAGTCCACATTTATTATTTAAAATAGTTTAAATAAAATAATTGAATTTCCCTGTAGAAAGAGGAGACATACTGTATACACAAACTGTGTACTGTACTGCAGAAGTTGCTAATGCTTAGGACTTACACTTGCAAATTTTTAATGTAGAGAATGGGAACAAAGCTCAGACTTCCATTTTTTTAATTTATGTTGAAGGTTGTATTTACCATAGTGGACATTATGTGAGCTTGCCATTTGTTCTGCCCACAAGAACAGTCCCTGAATAGAGCTTGGTCTGAATGCTCCAACTGCTAAAACCGAGGGAGGGAGTCTGTATTGATTCCCACCTCCATCTGTACCTATTCCACCATTCTGGATCATTTTCCAAGCACTTAAAGCACATTCGAGTGGACGCAGGGGACTAAGGGTGCAAACAGAGAGGGAAATAGTCTAAGATTGTTTCCTATCAGCAGAAATGCTGGATCCTAAGCTTTTTTGTACTCCTGAATGAACCCAACTATCTACAGAAGATCCTGAATCCAAGCTACAGTGGATCCTCGACTTAGGGAATCAATCCGTATTGGAACTGTGGCCGCAGGTCGAAAATTCCGTAGGTCGAGGGTCCATTTCGCATAGGAATGCATTGAAACTCATTTAATTCGTTCCAGCCAGAGGGAAAAAAATCTGGGGCTTGCAAAACTGCACCCGCTGCCCTCTGCCTTCTGTCCCCAAAGCCCTCTGCCTCTCATCTCTGCGGGGACAGGAGGCAGAGGGCACCGGGGACAGGAGACAAGCCAGTGGGTCCAGCTTTTTAAGCCCTGAAAGCCCAAAGCTGAGAGTAGGTGCAGAGCGGCTTTCGGCTTTCCCCGCCTTCCCCCGCTGTCAGCTTTGGAAGCCGAAAGCCACCCTGCACCCGCTCTCAGCTTTGGGCTTTCAGGGCTTAGACCTGCAGCCTACGGATTGGAAGGGGGAGGCGGGGAAGGTGCCAAATTTGAATTTGGCGCTTTCCCTGTCTCACCCTTCTCGTCCATAGGTCGATTCTCCGGCTGCAAGTCGAAGTGAAATTTTGCGGCCGGAGAAGTCTGTAGGTCGAAAAGTTCGTAAGTGGAGCCGAATGTAAGTCAAGTCTCCACTGTACTGTCTCATCCTTCCTTCAGCTGTGAAAATTGTACCAGCTATGGCCCTACCTGGACGAGCGGAGTCTCATGACAGTTACACACGCACTGGTAACATCTCGCATAGATTACTGCAATGCGCTCTACGTGGGGCTGTCTTTGAAGATGGTCCGGCAACTGCAACTGGTCCAGAATCGAGCTGTGCAGCTGGTGAGTGGTGGGGCTGCTAGGGGACACATCAAGCCGTTTCTGTTTAAGTTACATTGGTTACCAGTTGCTGCCTGGGCCCAATTCAAAGTGCTTGTTTCGACATATAAAGCCCTAAACGGCTTCGGCTCTGGATACCTGAAGGACCGCCTCTTTCCATATGAACCTACCTGGCAAGTTAAGATCTAGCCAGGGGCCCCTTTTGAAAGAGCCCTCCCTCAAGGAGATAAGACAGATGGTTTGTAGACAAAGGGCCTTCTTGGCAGCTGCCCCCAGACTATGGAACGCCGTCCCAATTGAGATTCGTCTGGCACCAACGCTGACGACATTTCGGTGCCAGGTCAAAACCTTTCTGTTCCAGAAGGCTTTTAATTGAAATAATATCAACTGTGGGTCCTGATGGCAACTTTTAGAGTATATATTTTAATTGTATTTTAATTGTTTTATCTTTTTTACTGTAGTAAAATAGCTGTAAGCCGCCCAGAGACCTTTGGGTAGTGTGCGTGGCATATAAGTTAAATAAATAAATAAATAAATAATAAATAAATAAATAAATAAATCCTGTTGCTGGCACTACAACTATGTGCGAACTAGTCTTGAAACCCTGGAATGTTTTATGACTAGGCAATTCAATCCTATATACTTCCCCTGCATTCAGTAGAGACTATTGCCATGTAAATGTACATGGTAATATAGTCTGTATTTTAGAAATATGCTATTGCTTCTTCTCCCAGAGCAGTCTCCCCATTTATATTAATGCAGCTTTCCACAGCTATATTTTAGATCTAGAAAGATCCCAGCCTCCCATGACACCAGTGAATGTAAGAAGAAATCTCCAAGCATCTGCCAAAGACTGGTCAAAACGAGGACATAGCATGCAGAACTAACCAGAAGAAGGAACTCCCAGCTTGATACTTGCTGTCACCTTGCTCCTGGGCTCGGACAGTGAGATCAAAGTTGGATCCTGTGTTTGGCCAAGAGAAGAAGAACACCCCAGAGTTCAGAATTTTCTTCAGAGTAGAAAGACGATCCTCTTCTTTGGTTCCTTCCTGGAGAGGACAGAATTCTGTTGCTGTGATTCTGTAAACTTCAGAATCAAGGATTTTCCCCACTGATGTACAGCCTGTCACGAGGACCAGAAAATGCATTGTGGCATTACCTAGAAAGTGACAGGTACATTACAGTTACACAGGAATACCAACGCTTATGTCACTCTATGCTTTATCTGTAAAGGGAGCCTGTCAGTCTCCTTACTACGTTTTACATTTTTTTAAAAAGGGCAGGCAGGGAGTGAAGGAGAACAAATAAGGACTTTCCAATATTAGCAGTTCACTAGAGGCCAAAGCTGAGATAATCTGTCTAGGACTCACTGTAGATGTGGCAGAGTTATGTCAGTCTGATTTACTTCCTAAATCTATAAAATTGGGGAAAAAAACTCTAAGATAAAAAAACCGAAATCTTGTAAAAGCAGTAACAGTGTAAAACCAAAGGTCTAAGTAACTTGACCATAGTTTCCAGAAACAAAAATCCTACAAAGCCTGGAAAATGAAAAGGTTTTCATCTGGGTCCCAAATGTTACAATGCAGACATTGGCAAGCATCTTTGTAAAGGGCATTGTGCAACCAGGAACCAATCCCAGAAAGTATCCTCACCTTAGTAACCACTTCCTTCATTTACTTCAATTGGTACACTTGTTGCTGAGTCTCTGAAAATTATTTTAGGGTCTGGGGGAATATTCATAACAGGAGATAATCCCTCAGGCATAATATTGCATTATCCTCTAACTCAATCATTCTGATTGTCCCCCTAACCAGCTAAGAATCTTAATTAGATAGATATGCCCACAGCAGCTGCTTTCCCAATGATATGTTGTAGTAAGTAGCTGAGATACTTCACCTGTCACTTGGCAATGATCACTGCTTTGTTTTAATTTTTATCAAGACGAAAGTGAGAAATTCTATTTAGGTATGATTAAGCATGTTGAATCGATACACAAGGAAGAGCTGCTCACTCTCCTTGCATGTTGATTCAACACCTGAATAGATTAGACAGATTACCTCATTGAAGAAAACCTTCACATCTGTAACATATGAACAAATATTGTGTTTGTTGGAATATCTAAATACATGTGGCAAGAGGAATATTTGTCAGCTAGAATGACAGTCAAGGTCACTGATTTGTGAATAAATCTATTCACAAAAGGCAGTAACATGGCAAGCTGCCAGTGAGGCCGTATTGTAGTCAATTTCACAAGAGGAAGAAAAACGTTCCTTTAGCAAATATTCTTATTTTAGCTTCTACTTCAGTCATTTCCATCCCTAACAGAAGAACACAAAGAAGTAAGCAAAAAGTAAGAAGGAAGCAATTGGGTGTTTCTGATATAGCCTCAAAAACAGATAAATACAAATGAATGAATAAATAAAGAATATAAATGAGCATGAGATGCATATAGGAACCCACATAAAAGAAAATGAACATATTAAACCAATGTTCCTACTATTTGCTTCCCAATGGACATCTTATTTGGAATATTTATGTCATAAATCTAGCCTCACTATGGATGACCTAATTTGCAAAGATATCAAAGTCATTTGCACTGCTAAATTTTTTTCCAATAGCCATGAAAATTTTCCTGTACAAAGTAAATAAATAATTGTCAAACCAGCACAAGCCAACAGACATTTACTTCTGGCCAATGACATAATTTCCCCTAGAGTATTTGAAGTTCAGCTAATATATGATTTCCATAAACTATCCTGACTCATGGGCAGAAAAAATATACATATTGCAACACTAATGAAGAAGCCTCAAGTGACTACTTAAAAAACAAACACCACTCCTGATAGGAGAGTTCAACAGAACCAGCAACAATCCTGCATTAACATTAAACTGGTTTAAGCTCATTTACGCTTTACCAGCATGTGATTTTAACAAACAAAACATTTAGAGACTAGTTTGATGCTACTTTCATTAGCCCTAAATGCTTTTTTTTTTGTTTTTTTAGTGCTGACTCTGTGGTTTTACCTTCTAAGTTATAAATGGTTGTTCTAAATTGTTTTCTATTATTTTCTGAAGGCCTAAAATCGAAAAGGAAGAACAGAAATACAATTTAACATTATTAAAATTTAATTAATTTTCAAGTGCAAATAGTAGTAACACTATCTCTTCAAATTAAAAATAAATAATTGTTTAAAGGGGTTAATCCAAACTTTAGATATCAAGTGTGTTGTAGTATACGGCGTGATGGAACAGGACTCAAGAGGTCTGGGTTCATATCCCTGCTCAGCCATGGAAACTCATTGGGAGGTGTTTGCAACTGGTAAAACTATTACAGTGGACCCTCTACTTATGGAATTAATCTGTATTGGAACGGTGGCTGCAGGTCAAAAAGTCTGTAGGTTGAATCTCCATTGACCTACAATGCATTGAAAACCGATTAATCCGTAACCAGCCATTTTTGTTCCGTTGCTTAAAGGGGCTAATCCAAACTTTAGATATCAAGTGCGCTGTAGTATACGGTGTGATGGAAAAGGACTCAAGAGGTCTGGGTTATATCCCTGCTCAGCCATGGAAACTCATTGGGAGGTGTTTGCAACTGGTAAAACTATTACTTAAATAATTCAATTACCTCAAAAGCCCTACAGGAGTCACTATCAATTGGTTCCAACTTGAGGGCACATAGCATAATAATCCAAAGTTTAGTATAAAAAACATGAAATGCATCTGGTGGAGCTACTGATACTACATATTTCTTTGTAACTACTGAGCACCTGAAGGAGGACTAAACAAAACACTAGACAGAAGAGACAACTTCTGCCTGCTTTACTAAATATGCAAAAGAGAAAGTAGCTTTCTGAAATGTAATTACTGTTCTTTAGCAGCAGAAGGAAAATTACCTCCCTATTAGCTCACTACAGACAATCCCGACAACTGTCGCTTGCTTACGTAATATCTTTTCTTATTATTCGCTTCAGTCTCTGTACATCTTGTACATAAAAGGATTGTTCCTGCCATATGAACAAAAATGATTTCATCTGAATCATAGAATCACAGAATAATTGAGTTGGAAGGAGCCTATAAAGCCATCGAGTCCAACTCCTTGCTCAACGCAGGAATGCAATGTAATGAAAGAGGACCGTACTGCTCTATACCTTTGCCAGCAACTCCCAGTCTCTCTATACATCAACCATCTTCAGTACGATTCCCCCTCCGCATGTGTGAACTACACATTTCCTCAGCCTTACCCAACATGCTCAGTGGTTTCAAGATGATGTTAGTTGTATTCCATCACATTTCAGGGATGTCTAATGGGGCGGGGTCCTACATATCATTACTGTTGGATGCTATTATCAATATGAACTGAATTTCAGAACACAAAGAAAAAGTATTTTGCTCTTATCAGCAGCAGCATCAATTCTCAAACAGAGGTTTTAGGTCAAGCTTTTTATATATCAGTTTCCTTGAGGAAGAACATTATGGAAGCCCAGGTGTGATTTTATAGTGTTCACTTATTTACAAATACCTTTAATCAAACTGTACAGCTCTACATAATCAATCAGATATTCACTTAACACTACACAAAATAAACCCTGTAACAATATACAGGAATATGCAATATCTTTCTTGTAACAACATGACAATATAATATAGCACTTTTAAAATAGTGCAGCAAAACAAAAACAAAAAAGTCACTATCTCAACAATGGAGAACTGGATCTAAATGTAAATAGGAAGGTTCAAACTACATCTTATGTTAACCACAGCATGCATTCTGCTTTTCTTTTATTTAGAATACACTGATGCCCTTTGATCCACTGGGACCACAGCACATGCAAAAGGGAGGTTTGGTCCATCTCTTTACAGCCCTCCTCCAAAACTGGCACCAATGAAAACCCTTTCCCCCCTCTACCAGTATCTGTTCCTTGGGGCGGAGCTGGCTCTTGAGGGGGCGGTAGCTAGAGAAACCTGCTCTCTTCATGTGTTTTGGTTTCAGCCCAGATCAGAGCCCTACACTTGTTTCTGAGTCATGAACAAACAGAAAGACAACAATAGACAATTTCTAGGGTTTCTAAACATCTTCATAAAGGTCACAAAACTGAGAATTCAGGTGGCCTTTACTCACTACCCTCAATCCCAGCCACAGCATACAACCTAGTACACATGGATATTCCATACTGATTCTACTGCTCTCTTATTATCCTTATTTGACTAGGACAGCACTATCGCCACCATTGTCACTAACACCTGAATGTACTGTGCACACCATGCAAATATATTAATGAACATAATGAAAACCCACAAAAAGATTTGCACATATGCTGTGGGATTCAGTTTCAGCATACGAAGCTAGACAGAAAATCCTAACAACTACAGTTTCCTTTGACACATATCCTACAAAGCGCCAAGCTTCTGCCTTTCTGGACATTGTTGTATTTCACCATAAAACCCACAGCTAAAATAGACAATTGAACACACTGTAGAAAGAATTGAATCTCAAAAATCACAAACAGTTCCTTGCATCCCCACAGCTCTTCTAACTAGCTAACACGCATTTTAAATTCTTAACCTTTTCCAGCCCAAATCCTGTTTGGAAAAAATGTGTACATAAGGGCAGCCACAGAGCATTTTTCTCTTGCTTCCCATCTGTCACGCAATTAACCATATAACTACTTCCCTGACCCAAGGAAGCTGAGGAACACACTGGATGGCTGGCAGCACAGGTAGACTTCCTTGTTTTCTTGTGTATTTATACTATACAAGATGAACAGGATTCTTCCCTCAGTGTTTAAATTGTTTATCAAGTTATATGCGAACTCTTTAAAAATCACTGTTGGCTATAACAACAGTTACATCAACATAAGGAAGAATTACTGTCAAATCTCAAAGAATGCTATAATGCTGCAGCACACAGTCACACAAATTATATATATATAATTTATGTGTCTGTATGCTGCAGCATTGTAGCATTCTTGTGTATTTATACTATACAGGATGGACAGGATTTTTCCCTCAGTGTTTAAGTTGTTTATCAAGTTATATGTGAGCTCTTTAAAAAAATCATTGTTGGCTATAACAACAGTTATACCAACATGAGGAAGAATTATTCTGTCAAATCTCAAAGAATGCTATAATGCTGCAGCACATAGACACACAAATAAT